TATTCTTCTAGGATACTTTCCTAATCCAACTTTAAATGAGTTTTCTTCCATCTTGGACTCTTATAAGGATTAAATTGCTATCATATCTTCAAATCTTCCTATTCAATCTTGACTCTTCAATTCTTATCAATTGTGATTCTTCCTCTAGTAATTGATTCACTTGCATTATCCATTATTACTTTAAATCAACCAATTTACCTGTAAAATAAACCAAACAACTAGAAAAAATATCAAACTAAAAAATCAAGGAATTCAACACATTTAATCACAAATAATATGTAATTAACCAATCATTAAATATAATAAAATAGTAATTTTGATGGTTAATCATTGGTGAATGTGTTGAAGTTAAATTTTCTAGTGAGGAGGTTCATAATAAGTAAGTAACAAAAATACATTTGTCAGTATGATAATGAGAAAAAATATATAGCTAAATTTAGTAAGTCTATATGTGCTAGTTGTTAACTAAAGAGATACTTGAAGGCAATGATGTTTGTTTGATTATGTCAACAATAAGTATTATTGGATGGTATTCAAATTCAGGTGTGATGTGTTTACGACTATCAATTAAATTCTTTAGGATTTCCTACATGGAGTAGGAACTAAAATATAAACAATTTGAGACTAAATTGTCGGATCAAATGTTAAGGTACTTATACTAGAATTATCAGTTTTGTAATTTTCTTTGGAAGCTCAAATTTTCATTTCATTTTTGGAATTTTTACCAAATTTTACTCTGGTATGTCATGTACTCTTGCAGAAAAATTTTATAAATTGTGTAAGACATAATTTCATTCAATGCTGAAAGTTAGAGGGTTATACTTTTGTTTGGTAGGGATTGCTATAAATTTATATTCAAAACACATGACACTGGAGTTTTATTATAAAATAAGTACTATGGTTGTTTGTGATTGTTATATGAGGCTTAAGTATGGAGACTGTGATATGTTATAATTTTAATGGTGCGATTAAATGAGAGAGGATAAATTTTGGGTTGTCATATTTATCTCTGGGATTGTTTAAATTGTGCAAGTATCCATAATTGTGGAAAATCATGAATAGGTTTCATTGAACCATAAAGTTTTATGAAATAAATTTATTAAGCTCTAATACAAATATGTATTTGAGAAGTTGAGATAACTGGAACAAAATTACATAAGAGAGAAAATAAATGTTTTGGTAGAGTGTTGGATGATTCATGCTTAAAAACATATATATATATATATATATATATAGTGAAAATCGATGAGGAGAAAATGATATCAAACAACCAATTGATATCATTTTGATATAGTGTGCATGATTGTATATGGATTTGTGCATGAGTGCATGAATGTATGTATATGGACATGTGCATGAGTGTGTGTTGGGAATATAAATGATTTTAAATTTATATGTAAAGTGAAAATCGATGATAAGAAAATGATATCAAACAACCAATTGAGTTGAAAATATATATATATATATATATATATAGATATGTTGGTGAATGTGTTGAAGTTAAATTTGTTGCATAAGGAAACTACATCTATCAGTATGATAACGAGAAAAAAATATAGCTCAAGTGAGTAAGTCTATATATGCTAGTTGTTAACTAAATAGATAATAGAAAACAATAATTTTTGTTTGATTTTGGCAACAATCAGTATTATTGGATGGTATTCAAATTCATTTTTGATGTCTTTATGACTATCAATTAAATTCTTTGAGATTTCCTACATGGAGTAGGAACTAAAAAAATAAACAATTTGAGGCTAAATTGCTAGATCAAATGTAAAGATACTAATACTAGAATTATCAGTTTTGTAATTTTCTTTGGAAGCTCAAATTTTCATTTCACTTGTGGAATTTTTACCAAATTTTACTCTGGTATGTCTTGTAATCTTGCAAAAATATTTTATAAATTATATAAGACATAATTTCATTCAATGCTGAAGTTAGAGGGTTGTACTTTTGTTTGGTAGGGATTGCTATAAATTTATGTGAAAAACTCATGACACTGAAGATTTACTATAAAATAATGTCGGATATAACTGATAAATATATTGTCATTGTTGTGGTAAGTGTATGCAATCTTTATGTTGTAGTTAACACAATTCTCATAGATAAGTAATGGTTAAATGTAATATGGGAAATATATGCTTGAAATCTATTTGTGTGAAAATAATATACTCAGCATAATGTTCTTACAAAAAACATGTCATTAAGTATGTGTGTGGATTGATAGGTAAGTTTGGGCTTTGTGAAAAGGAATAGTTGTGTTATATTCTTGTAGTTGTTTCGTTTGACTATTATGTGGTGTGTTGGAGTTAGTATAACTATATTAAATTAATTATAATAGTATGTGATGCTTTGTGGCATAGTGTGACAATATCTATATTTTGTGAAGATTGGATTAAGTAAAGTGTAACTATATGGATATGGGAAAAAAAATAGAGACAAATCGTAATGAATATATAGCCATATTTTTGGGGCATAATACCGGAAGTGAATATGTAATCATGACTCGGAGGCAAGGTACTGGAAGTGAATATGTAGCTATGACTCTGAGGCGAGATACCGACAACGAATGTTTAATTGTGATTATGGGGAAGGATGTATAGGTATTAAATTTGTAGTCGTGACATCAAAATTTAATTTTTTGTTAATATTTTTATCTTTGATTTTAAATGAATAGGGTGCGAGATGAAGCTAACAAGTTTTTGCATGGTTTTAGGCTTAAAAAACCTACAAGGATCGCCCTATGCTCGCTAGCGTTTGTTAGATCGGTCTCTTAATGACTTAGGAGAAAAAGAGAAAAGGCCAAGGAAGGCAGCACAGGGGTTGCTCTATGAGGTCGCCTCAGTAGTCTCCATGGTCGCTTGAGTGGTGCTCATAATCACTTAAGTGACGCTTGCCTTAGTCAAGATTGAGCAATGCTTGCCTTAGTCAAGATTCAAACGTAGTTTTCACTCTTGCGACAACTACCTTATGATTGCCCTCCCACCGATTGAGAGGTCATTCACAAATCTATATTTTCTTATTTACTAAGACTACCCTTATTCTAGACCTATAAATAGGGTGTGCCTTTCCCATTTCTAGGTCAAGCCTTGAGAGAGTCTTTAGAGAGATTTTTGAAGAATAAATCTATTTTTCAACCTTGAGTGCTTCCCCCACAACCTAGATTCCTAAGAATCCAAATGCTACCACTAATGATTTTTTTTATCCTCAGAACATGGAGTAGGAGAGCTTGTTGGTTAATAAACCCATTGTTGTGTGCATACTAAGGATTATTGGTGTGCCCACAATCGCTCAAGGCCTTGACTAACCATGTGGTGGGGTAAGTCCAAGTGAAGCTACCTCAGACGTCGAAGAGGGAGTTTTGGTGGAGATACAAAATAATGAGCATCTAGCCATGGGTATTGGTTGAGCTATAAGACTTCAGTACTTGTATGTTGACTTGGCACGCAGTGGATTATGCTTTGGTGAACCCCGAGTAGTTCCTTGCGATTTTTCCCAAGGAGGGTTTTCTGCATCACCAAATTACTTGTGTCTTTTATTATTGTACACACTTGCAATTGTGAACACACATGTGCACTATGTGTTTGATATTTTGAGTGTTAGATTTCATATCATTCATAGTTATGCAATTGGGTTTATGGGTTTGTTGAGATCGCTGTAAGATTGACTTGAGCAAATTAATTGTATATTAATTAAAATCAATCGTCATGGTTCAAAGGGTTGGTGTGTTTGAAAGGGGTTCTTATCATTAATTTTTGCATTCAATTGAGAAGAGGTAATTGTGGTAGATAAAAGTTTAATTTATAATTGATTTGGGCTAATATTGAAAAATTATTCACCCCCTCTAGGTTAAGTGTCTTGGTCTCCATGTATATAATTGTGAGGGTAGATCCATATCGGGTTCCCCTTTTTGAAGCCATATCGGGTTGCACGACCGCCTTCTCTTTGATGGTTTTAATTTTACATATTGGAAGGTTTACATGAGAGTTTTTCTAAAATCAATTGATGATAGAGTATGGTTAAGTGTGCAAGAAGGTTGAATCCCTCCCACTGCCACCACAAAAGTTGAAGGTGGTGAAGCGGTCGTTACAGTGAAATCCCCAATGACTTGGTTGAAGATCGAGATTAAATTGATGGGATGGAACTCGAAAGGCTTGAATGCAATATTTAATGTCATGACACCAAACGAGTTTTAGAGAATCAAAAATTACGAGACCTCCAAAGAAGCTTGAGACATCTTGGTTATTTCCCACGAAGGGACTTCCATGGTGAAGATGCTCAACTCCAAAGGTACACCTCTTAGTTTGAGATTTTGAAGATGCAAGATGATGAAACATTTAATGAATTCTATGCTAAATTGTATGACATTGTAAATTCATCATTTGCATTAGGTACCACAGTTGATGATGTTTCCATCAAATGGAAAATCTTGAGATCTTTACCTCCGAGGTTTCAAGCTAAGGTCACATCCTTGGAGACAAGTGTAAACATGGAGTTAGTGTTAGTGGAAGACCTAGTAGGATATTTCTTGACCTTTGGGATGAACCTTCCATCCTTAAAGCAAGCTAAGGGCATTGCCTTAAGCTCTACAAATCAAGAAGGAGGTAAATCTTGGTCATCCTAATTAGGAGAGGAGGACTTAACTTTGATTGCAAAGAAGTTCAAAAAATATTTCAAGACTAGTAATGTTGAGTCCTCAAGGTCTAAATAAAAGCCTGGTAGACCTACTCCTAATAAGAAGGAAAGACAGAAAAGGGAAATAAACTATTGGAAAGAAGATGAGAGAAAGGTGAAAGGGTTCCAATACTTTGAATGTCAAGGTTTTGGACATATTGCATCGGAATGCCTAAAGGAAAAAAAAAGATATTTGCCTAATGAAAGGAGGAGAGCTATGAAAACCAAGTGGAGTGATAATGAAAGTGAATCTACATTGAGTGAATCTACATTGGGTGATGATTCCCTTTCACAAGATTATAAAGAAAATTTTACGGCTTTTGTAGCTCCACTCCCCTTTCCTCCTAGAGAAACTTCCACAAATGGAGTTGAAACAAGTCCTACCACAGAGGTAAATGACTTGGAAAAAGAAATCCCCACATGTGTGGAGGATGATGAGTGTTATAAGGATATTCAAGCTGTGTATGATCAATTGCATTTGCAATACCTCAAGCAACAAGAGAAGGTGCTCTCCTTGAGTGATCGGGTCAACTCAAGTGAAGAGGAGACAAGAGCCCTTCATTTGGACTTGGTGAAGTTGAAGGGCCAATTTTTGGCCTAGAGGATGAGAAAAATTCTCTCATTGATCGAGTATCTTGAGAGAGAGTGTCATGAGTTTGTCAAGTTTAAGAAGAATCTTGAGTCAAAATATGCCGAACTTGACAAAAAATCTTTGTGAATCAATGAATTCTCTAATAGACTTCCCTAAAGCATTGAAAAATTTGATAGAATGTTGTCTATGGGTAAGAGTGTAGGTGATAAGTGTAATTTAGGCTACACAAATGGACACACCCACACTTCTTCCAAGACTATGTTTGCGAAGGGTAGCACCAACCCATCACCTCCATAAATAGGCACAAGCACTAAAAATGCTATTCATGGCAAGGGTATGCATTCACAGAAGAAGGTTGTTTATCAAACCCAAGCTAATCATGATGTGTGTTATACGTGTTGAGAGCATGGTCATCATAGGAAAACATTGCATGAAAATTAGAGATATCTTGAACAAGAAACTTGTGTATATAGCTAACCAATCCAAAGCCATGAATTCTCAAGTTTTAAAATCTTCTAAGCTTTTGGAGTGGTCAAGTGAGTCAAAGCAGAATCATGCATCACCATCTAAAGGACCACAAGCTATAGTGCACAATGCCTCTTGACTTGATCTACAATATGTACATTTGTTGAATCCACAGGGAACAAATGTTGGTGTTTTGAAGTTATAAGTAATAGAGACCAAAGTAACTAGAACCCTTGAGATTTGAAGTTATGATGATGATAGAATTTTCTAGACAAAATATATGATTCTATTATATGAAAAATTCACCCTTTAGCTTGAGGATCCGGACATGTACTTATTCATTCGGTTGTTATATTTGTGCCTCGTAAACTACTTAATTAACCCCTAAGTCAATAATAAGTTAATTGGAGGATAAAGATGGAATGTGTGAATTAAGAGCATGACTCCGATGTCTTTGTAGAGATTTTGCAAGGATTGTTTATGTTGAGACTTAACCCATTTATAAACAAGCAAGCAACCCTATAAATCATCCAGCAACTATTAAGTTATCCCATTCTTAGTTAAAACATAATGAAAATGAAGATTGAAAAGTTGTCATGAATATCTAGCTTGGGTACTTTCAAGGAATCAATGAAATCCCCTATGCCAAGAATTAACTTGTTTATAGGTGATCCATGATTATACAAAGTACTTTTAGTTTTTCTAGATTCATTCAATTATTTTATATACAATGGAAAAATAAATCATTCAACATAAATGAAATGCACAACTATAACTTATGAACAATAATTTACATATCAATCACCTCTTACTAAAGAGTGAATGAGAAACTACTCACTCTTCATGGCTTTGAGGAAGCAAGAAAAGTGGGTGAATCTCATTCCTCCACATAGAGGAACTTAAAATTACAAGTTAACGTTTACCAAAAAAATACGCTTATCTTCGACAAAGAATGAGTGGAACACTACCCCACTCTTCAAAGCCACAAAAGAGCCAGAAAGGTGAGAGAGGTTCAATGCTCAAAGTGTTGAAGGAAGCTTTACAATGGAAGCTAATCAAACTAATGCTAAAAGTAGAAGAAGACTAGCTTCTTTTGGAGGTTTTTTCCACTTCCAAAAGAGAGATATATCTTTAATCAAGTTCCAATGGATGACAGTTATAGGCAAATGAGGGAGGTAAAAGATAGACATAGGTGCTTAAAATCCAAGTCTATGCTAGAAAATTCGGGTGAAAATCTAATTTGCATGTATTCTATCAGGGATTAATGTTCCAATGTTACTTGGTGTTCGAACGTGTAAGCATTTCCTTTATGAAGTGAGTTCAAATGTTATTGGAGTTCGAATGTGATCATTAATGCAGCCTTGGCATCAACAATTAATAGCCTCGTGCCAGCTACCTAGAAGTCCCCTAGAGATCTTGACTAATTTCAATGTGGCGTTTGAACATGAAGGTGGCGTTCGAATGTGAAGGTGGCGTTCGAACATGGAAGCAAAGTCCACTTTGTCATGCAATTTGTTTCTTCCGTCTTGATTTCTTTTTTAAAACACGTGTGTTGCTTGGAAAAGTGACATTATTGCCCTTAAGCCCTTATACTTCATTTATCCTAAAACATTATCATTTAAACACAATTAAAGCATAATCAATCTCATAAAGGCAAAATAAAATGTAACTTTTAACTGTGCATCACCTTTCCTACCCCCAAGTTTAAGGTTGATCTATATACTTCCAAGGAGAAAAGAGCTAGTTCTCCACCCATTCCCTGTGTTAACCTGAGTTTTAGGAGGGAAAAACAAGTATGGGTTGCTTGATGTTTTTCGTTGTAGTATCCTAACCTCTTAACATCTTCCCTCAATTGTATATGGCTTATAGGACTGGGGGAGTGTCACTCTCCCTTAGAATGATGCAAGAGATGGGACAACGAAATAATGGAAAATGAAATGAACAAAATGTTTGGAATGAAATGTGTGTGTGAACAAAAGTGCTCCCCAAGCGCAAGGAGTCTTTTGCTTGTCATGTTTTACTTGGAATAAGTATTCCAAGGTCATCTCCTCAGGGAAGGAAAATTCAAGTGTGTGAAGGTGATTTTGTGAAAAATGCAAAGTGTAAAATCTTTTTGATGGTTGAGTTTTGTGAATTGTGTTTTTGATGAAAATGAAATAAAACAAGTGTTGGCTATTCCGAAGGGGTCATTCCAATGGGAATACCAAATCAACTCCTCCAATGGTGCTTAGATAAACGATTGATTCATGGGAAGCTATGGACGAGATGGAGGTGTGTTGTCTGAATTTGGTATTGACAATTTACGTGCAAGTAACACGATCAACAAGTAATAAAGTGATAAATAGAGTATCGTTCCCACGGAGAATTATTAGTAATAAATTTCAAGTACTAACTTTATATCAATTTAATTTTATTTAAACAATTGAAATTGAGCAATGAAATTACTAATTAAAACTAAATCTAAACTTAACAATCAAGGGTTGAATTTACTAGAGAAAAGAAGTTAAGATTACAACTTCCCCTAATGCTTCGTATAAATCCCTCTAACTCTCTTTCCAGTTAATTGATCAAAATAAGTTGTTAACTGAGAACTCAAAGTTATTTATCAAACCTCTTCCGATAGTTAGATAAAATTATCTATCCCAATTAAATTACTATATTCCTATGCAAAATAAGTTGGAATAGATTCATTAAGTTCAAACTCTCATAAAAGTTACACACGGCGTATAGGTATATTCCTATCCTATACACAAACCCTGCTATTCAATCCTAAGAAGAATAAACTAGACGCATGTCATCATATTCAGATCTAAACCTAGAATTCATCTCCTAATTTCATCTAAGTTATCACATTAATTGTTGGCCACACAATCATATATTAAACATAAAATATGACAAACAACTCATATAAGATCAATAAGAACTAGAAACGAGAGTAGATTAATTTAACTAGACATAGGTTCCGTTGCAATCTTAATAAAAATTTAGTTCATAACGTAATTGAAAAACATCATTCTCAAATTAAACAACATCTTAGAAAATCAAGAATAAAAAATAAGAGAAAAGAACGAAAACTTAGTTGTAATCTCCAATCCGTCTCTAGCCTTCAAGTCCAATTTTCTTCGTGTCGATTTCTTCAATCTGTGTCTTCAATTTTCTTCCAATTTCTTGGTCGTTCCAGCCGTTTTCAGCCCCCAAAAGTCAGAATCCCCCATCCCCACACAAACCCTAGTATATATATAGCCTTAGGGTTAAATTTTGGGCTCAAAACAAGTCAAAATTCACGTCACAGATTAACACATGCGTAAGGGCGCTCAAACTGGCGCAGGGGCGCTGATTTGGACAGTGTTTGGGAGCTGGGGCACGCCTCCTTGTATTCTGCCTGGTCCGGACCAGTCTTCGTAGAATCGTCATAACATTTGATACAACCGTCCGATTGAGCTGAAAATTTGACACAATACAGAAGACATCCTGATCTACAACCTTTATGTTTTTCATTTTTTCAGATTCGAAGTGAATCATGGTCCAAAAGGCAGAAACCCGAGGTACTGCTACAAAATAGTACTCTATAAATACTCCATTAAAATGCCCTTTAGCTTCCTCTTCAAAAATCCAACACTTAGGCTCCAATTTTGACCTTGTTTCCTCCCAAATGGTCATTCCTACAAAATAACATCAAAACACACAAAACGAATAAAAATGAACATAAAATAATTAAAAACTTACAATTTTATTAAGCCGAAAGCACTCAATTCGTAGGTATAAAATCCACTCATCAAGGTGCGGATCCAAGCATAACCTGTGACTAGGCCTACGGGATATCAAAGACTCACAACTACGTCCACTCTCAACCCAGTCAAACCAAACCAACGTACACCGAGGGGAGGAAAGAAAATGAGTTGAAATGGAGAACCCAAAAGGAGGTCTCCCTTGGATTACCCAACTTAAAATCTAGCTACTCATGAAAGCAAGGAAGAAATGCATACTGTAAAGAGACATAATGAAGAAATGAAACATGGAACTTAACTTAATGCAAGAAATCTTTAACTATGAAGAAAAATATGCAATACCCATTTTAAAGCTGGGAAATGAAGAAAACTTGAAAGCAACAATGGTGGAAACTAGAACATGTAACTAAACTTGCAATATACTTGAAATAAATGAGATTAAAGTGCAAGAGTTAAGGATTACAAGAAATATAAAGCTTACTACAACTAAAATGGAAAGGAAAATGCAAAAACATAAATTTCTATCTACTATTCATCATCTTCTTCCTTGGAACTTTCTAAGCTTAAGTAGCCACCCCCTTTGAAAATGCTTGTGGAATGCTGAATAAATGGAGTGTTAGCCTTGCAATTTCGTCCATAATGGTTCCCCCCCCCCAAGGTGAGTACAGGCCTCCCATCAATAGGGGGCTGAATGGATGGGTTACGCAAGCAAGCATAGGCTTAGCCTGCACACCCATCATCCTCTCTCTCTCTCCTCCCATGCCTTCTCTTCCAAAGTCAGAAAATTGTGTAATAATAGTATGGTTGTATGTAGAA